TCTCATATCTGTTGAAAATACGTAGGCCTAGGACCACGAAGTCCTATCGAGTCTGTTCTTTCCCTCTTTTCCCGTTCACCTCCTATTTTCTTTGTTTCTAACCCTTCTTTTTACCCCTAGGAACACTCTTTTATAGCATAATATTTTAGAAAATATAATCACACATCGACAAACAAATGGTTCCCATCGAGTACGATGGATGTGAGGGGTGCTAATACCTTTCCCTCGCATAACCGGCTTCCGAACCCGTTCTTGGTTGCGAGACCATCTTATCCATATCTTTCTTAGGGTTTTCTCGATATTTTCCCTTCCCCTCATGGGATAAATAAAGTTCGGTGGCGACTCTTCTGTCTATCTTTTTTCGCCTCCCCGTCGTTGCACGATACATTTTTCGAGTAGCGACAATAGAGTTAGATCCAATGTGGAGATTTGTGAGATATTGGATCGAACTCTAGTATGGTCGAAGTCTTTTCGCGAGTAATACATGTTGTAGTCGAAGTTTGTTCTAACATGCATTAGTCAATATTGCTAGGTTGTTAGCATGTTGAATTGGGTCTTACTTGTAAGCCCAATTGTTTAAGTTAGCTTGTACTATAAGTTAGCTTGTAATGAATAATTGTTAAAAAAACTCATTAGGTTAGTGTGCTAGTTTTCTTATAAATAGCATGCTAGTCTCTCATATTGTATAAGGAAAAATAGGAAGATAAAATCTTAATTCAAGAGAGAGAGGTTATTTGTTATTCTTGTATACTTGTAATCTTGTTTGATAAAGAAAGGAAATAATAACAGTTTATAATCAATCATTGTTGTTTCTTCTTGTTCTTCTTTCTTGTTTTCTTTGTTAACCCTAACCCTTGTGTGTTTCTTGAATATAAAGAAACCGTTTATATTTTGTTTCAAGGCATTCTATTCACAACAATGTGAAATATATTTTTCATGATAGAGTAAGATAGTTATTTTAAACTTTAATTAATTTAACTTTTAAGTGGAGTATATTCACCATGATGAAGTATCATAGTGTTGATGAATTATGATTGTAAGGGAAGAGAAATTAAATTTTTTTTGAATGATTTAACTTCAAGGAAAATATACTCTCTATGGTATGGTAGTTCTTTGAGCTATGATTGTTAGTGACGACAATAAAAACTAACGTATCATTTTTAATTAAATCGATTATGATTGGTGTTGGTTGAAATGTTACATGTTGAAGAAATCTCATATTGTCCAATATTATAAAGTAAGAGAGAAACTAAGACTAAATAAATATACTCTAGTACTTCGCTATAAGATACATCTTTAAGTGTAGGGTTAAATATATTTTTTATCCTCATAAAAATTGCGATTTTCACTTTTAGTCCCTCAAAAAAATTCCTTTAAAAAATGATCCTGCTAGTATTTTTCGTCCACACTTTTGGTTCTTCCTATTAACGCCCGTTAACAGAAGTTGATGTGGCACGCTACCTGGAAGTTTTTTTGATGATTGGACGCACATATGACACTGTCAATGTGACAAAGATGGTGACGTGACATGCCAAATGTCTAAAGTCAAACTAATAGTTAATTGGTAGCTAAAATCATAATTAATTTGTAGCAAATTCAAAAACTAAAAAATGGATGCAATTTTATTTACTATTCATCGATGATTTTCATTGAGCCACTATTTATACTTTCTGCGTCCCTCAATGAGTGACTCAGTTGACTTTTCACACAGATAAAAAAAATAAAAATAAATAAATGAGAGAATAATAGTGTTACTAAAATACTCTTACGATATATTGGGAGCAATCACACTAGAATTATAGGAGCACATGTTTGATTGTGGCTAACGAAGCTTGTTCTGACACTGGAAGTATATTCAATATTCACTGAGTGTTCCTAAAGAGTATATTCAATATTCACTGGAAGTATATTCAATATTCAATATTATAGGAGCACATGTGTTGGTTAAAGTATCTACCAATTTGGTGGAAAATTGTAATCGATAATTATTTTAAAACTAAAGAGTATATAATTCTTGTGCAAAATCCTTGAAAGGTAGTGGTTAATATTTGAATATCTTTTGTCGCTTTATTGGATTTCCATGTGCCAAATGTTTAGTTTACTTTTAAAATAACTGTCAATTTATAACAAGGTGCCCAGACTAAAACTGTTAGTGTTCCATATCCATTATAAGTTTGCCGTGGATATTTAGTAAATTCTTTGACATTCTGTGCAATTAGCCATGAACAAATGTTTTTGACAACTGCCTCATAAGTTTGTCATACAGGGACCTAATATGTCAATAGAAGTTGCTGGAATTTTTCAGAAAAATAATTTAGAAAAATCGAAGTTGTTGCATATTAGCTATAATTGTAACTACTGATTAGTTATTAAAAAAATTTGGTTTATGAATAATATTGACTTTAGTTATGTAGAATGTCACGTCAGTATCCTGTCACGCTGCCACTTCCTTGTGTATGCTCAATCACAAAAAAACTTTCACGTGGATGAAAAATATTAGGAAAACTATTTTTTGAAGAAAATTTTAAACTCACTAAAAGTGAATTTGGTTATATTTAGAAGGATCAAAAACTTATTTAATCCTTAAATTTATATATATTTTTTTTAATTTTTATATTTCTCTTATAGTCTTGTGTAAGAGCGTTGTGAGATATAATTATATATTTGTTTTGGAGAATGTGGTATTGTGAGATTTAGTTGTATATTTATTTTGGAGAGCGTATTTGTAAAGAGGACTTCAATAGGGTGTTAAAAAGGGTCTGACCTATACGACATACTCGTTTTCTCCCGCTTTTTTTATAAGGTAAATCAATGTTTTAGACTCACACTCTTTAATATGTTCGTTTCTCCTCTTTTTTGTAAGTTTCTACGGGTACTGAAATTAACAAGAATTTTACAACATTTAACCTTTAGAGGTGCTAGGGCTTGCATATCCGCCCCATCGTGTCCTATTTTTTGCGGGACAAATTGAAGATTTACCCACACTATCAACTATTTCTATCCTACTCCATCCGTTTTTCTTAGAGATATTCGCATAATAAATCTAAACAAGACAGACATATATATTTGTCATCCCTAACTATAAAATGGTTGAAAGTAATTTAGTGTAATAATTTTCATATAATATTTTTTTATCATCATTTGACAATGTTTGTTTTTCCTATTTTTCTAATCTTCATATTATATCCTTATATTATTGTAATTATGTTTTTTATTTTATCTACACTAATTTTTCCAACACAAAAGTACCCTTAATTTTTAATTTTAATCATCTAAATTAGTTTTTTAAAAAAAGAGTTTTATTTACGTGAATAAGTGATATACCCTAATACTACTTACAAGAACCAATCTTAGCTAAAACACATCGAACATATCGGTAACTTGAGTTCTGTCTTTTAAAATGAAAATTTGAATATGATTAGATCAATATTGTTTACTGAAATGAATATCGAGATATAGTTTGACATACTTATTTATTTTTTAGATTTTATTTAATCCATTCAAATGAGTTAATTAGTTTTAAGATATGTTTTGCTTTATAGTGCATTTTTTATTTTAATTAAAAAGGTTCACAGCATATTTTCCAATGCCATATTTTAGTGAGTTCTACTTTAATTTTTGTTCAAAGAAACAAATAGATTCCTATTTTGCATTATAAATATTCCATAGTTTTATTAAACAACCTATTAACATAATCACTTATTCCTAGAGTTAGAAGGGTGTTTTGATCAAAATACCGTGTTGGAGTGATTCTCCATTTAGTGATAAAATTGAACCTTTCCTACTAGTCCACTGTGATGAAATCTATCCTATATATGACTGAACTTGTTGTGTTTCTTCTTTTACTCCCAACTCTGGAGGTTGGGTTTGCTTGTGATATTGATGGTGTTTTCCCTTTGTTTAAGCGTTTTGGTGTCATTGACAAATGAATTTGGTAATTTTAGGTTTCTGGTTTGGATATTTTGTTAATTACATAAAACATTCTTTAAAGATACTTTAGATTTCTATTCTTAAAAAGAGTTTTTATTTTTTTCTAATTAAACCAGAGACACTTTTATACTCTAAGTTTAACTGTCTAGTCTTTCTATGTCGGATATCAGTCATATATTTTCAAAATTAGATTGTTATTTAAGACTATCTCTACTTTCATAGAGATATATCCAAGCTCTAAAAGACCAAAGCAAGCTCATAATTTCTTGTTAATAGACGTTGAATTGAGCGTCTACACGAGATTTGTTGTTTAGACAGTTCCCGTGATCCTAATCTAAATAAAACTACTCACATGTCAAAGATAAACACATCCATGATTTTAAACATCGACATAAGCATAAGATAGAAGTAGATGAATGAAAAAGCAATAAGAAAATACAAGCTGGATTACAACAGAGTACATGCTCTAACAGAGACTTTTGCAAAAACGTAAAAATGTAGAGAATCGTAAATTAGATTATGTAGAAAATTAGGATATGTGGGAGATCGTATTCTGAGTTTTACAAGGCATTGCATAGCCTTAAACTCATTAAAATATTTATAATTTGTAATAAGAGGGGTTTAAAGGCAAAGTAAAATAGTATAGGAAGGTAACAACAAAATGCAGAAAATCCAATGGTCATTGGGGCCATTAAATTGATCTAAAACATAGAATAGAGTATACTTAGAAGTTGTATTGCCTAGTTCATATTATAATATAGAATAAATACACACGTATAGGAAACTCATCAATTTTCGGTTACAATTTTACACTAGAACTACTAACTCCACAAAAAGAAACCAATTTTTTGTGTCAAGTTGTGGCACGTTTGGTTTTGTAAGCTATTCTCATTTCGTATCAAATCAAGATTCTAGACCCAGAATCATGTTTAACACAATCCAACCAAATCAAGGTTTTGTAAACATGTTATACATAAATGAAACTCGGTTTGGACAACTCAAACAAGGGGGTTCAATATGAGCAAACTATAACCAAAGCACGCTAGTTGTTAGTCACCAAATGAGGAAGTTCAAGTTTCCTCGTCCCACTTGCTTTTTGGTATCTCTCCGGAATCCGCAATCACTACCTTCTTTCTGGGTTTTCCATTATAGGTTCCAGCTCCACCTTCAATTGCAAACACGGTATCCATGCCTCGAACAACCTTGCCAAAAACAACATGGTCTCCATCCAACCTATAAAGTTTGCATTACATATTATCAATAAATATCACACGCGCAAACTCGGTCTAAATTGTTCAAAACCGTGCATTGTCAGGAGAAAATAACTTACCAACTGGCCTTCACTGAGGTAAAGAAAAACTGTGAACCGTTGGAATCAGGTCCGGTATTAGCCATAGAGACGACGCCTGCAATCACGAAGCTCACATATTCAATCGATCAACTTAAAACACATACCTCAAAAATGACAAATAAAAGTCAAGTTATAAAAGGAAAGTACTCCTAATAAAATGAAATACTTGTATTCAAGCAAATTCTTACACACCAGCATGAGAATGTTTGATTCTGAAATTCTCATCCGGAAAAGTGCCACCATAAATAGATTCGGATGATTTTCCGTCGTGATTAACAATATCCCCACCTTGAATCACGAAACCAGATACTATTCGATGAAATGGTGTTCCTTTGTAATGAAGTTTTACACCACTTGCACTCTTGCCTTTCTCCCCTACACAATACGGAAACACTCTTAATCAGTAACATGGACCAGATGGGGGATAAATTAATATTTAACGAACAATACGAAGAAAAGGGACTACAATTACCTGTGCACAAGGCTCTAAAATTTTCTGCAGATAAAAAATTTCCAGTCAATAAAAATTGCAAGTATTAGAGAGTAATATATTTCATTTTGAAGGGAAAAAAAGAATAGAACAATTCAATTTTTCTATTGTAAGGACTCACTAGAGAATATGCAGATCTGAAAAATACAAAAACAATGACATACCCACAGTTTTTGGTACCACTTGGCCATATAATCCGATCACGATCCTACCTGCAGAAGTTCATAATAAAAAAGAAAGAAAAATTACATTTTCATGCAGCAAGTTAAATTGGTACAAAGGTAGTAATAATAGCAAATGGGTAAGAGTTAAGAGGGGAAAATGGCTTGACAACCTAAACGCTGTTTATCAATGTCAATATCCAAGTAAACCCTATGCGTAATTTCTGGCTCCTCTTCTGTTTCCTCACCAACCTACATCATCAGAAAAAGCCAGAGTTTATTATTTGACTGAACCCAATATGCAATTGATACAAAACATAACTGTAAATAGTTCCAAACATAAATAACGGTCTAAAATATGAACGCTCTAACAAAAGCTTCAAGAAGTAGGAAAGTCCCAAAATAAGCCGGAAAAGATAAAGTGAGAACAATAAACATGATGGGCTTATCTCTTGCGGGATTGCTCATCGAAAGACTACAATTTGTTTACCTATGATCTACCTTGTTGAACTATTGTCCTTTTTCATTCGATCTCTCATCCTTCAAGCCACACACACTCCTAACCAGGTAGGTACCTTTGTCTTACTTCATAACTTTCCATCACATTTCCATTAGATCATAGCTAATTGCGTTACTTAAACCCCGCAGTCTCGATACCCCTCACTAATATCCTTTTGAAGGCATTTTCAAGGCATAGCCTACCATATCCTACATTTACTTGAGCTTCTGGTTTACTTACACCTTACAGTTATAAGTTCGAATCCATTAACTAGTTTCATACTTCTAGAACACACACATGAATCTACCCTAATAACAACTCAAAAAGCTTATATATTTTGAATAGATAAAGCAATGAAATATAATGCAATGGCATTCTACTGCAATCAAACCAAAAGAGATTCACCCATCATCAAACCAACAACAATAATAGCAATGGCAAAATCAAAATCCATTACGGACAAAGTAAACAAAAAATCAAATTTTGAATTCATCATCAATAACCCAGATCAGATCCACAATGACAGTAGTATATATACACAAAAGGGTTAAAAGAAATACCCATTTAGAAGCAGAGAATGCGAAAATGAGGAAAACTGAGAGAGCTAGGAAGAGGAGGAGGAAACGGGGTTGAGCGAGGAACGCGATCTCTCTGCGCATTGCTTCACCGCGTATTTGCTCAGTTTATACCCAATCAGAGAAAAATTGAAACTTTGTTGTCTTCCATGGAAGATAGCTTAGTGGGTTTGTGTCAAGATAAAAGGGGAAAGGAAAACGTGGGATACTTTCTCGGTGAGAAGTTGGGGATGATGCCGAAGGGGCTTCGAACTTGCGGCAGAGGGTGGTATGGAACTCAGAGGAATAAAAATTATTTTTTTAATTTTAATTAATTTAAAGTTATATAGCATAAAACTGCAATTAAAGAAGAAGAAGAAAATTCTAAGTTTCTCCCATGGCTAATCCGGATTTACTTAGAATTACTTAGAATAATAAAAATATCCTAATCGCGAATATCTGCTAATAAAATCCTTCAAAATATGAAAAGGATAATTTAACTGCTATATACTTTAAAATAAATGGATATTTAAATGTTATTTATTAATGAATATGATTGTAGATTTAATAATATTTGTATCATATATTTATATTTGTTAATATATTATAATAATATTTAAATTTAAATATAATTAATTTATTACACCATATATTTTTATCTTTTAAAAAGAGATAATTGTCTTATATTTTATGAAAAGAAATTTAAAACAGTTAGAAAACTCTATCGAACTACAAACATGAAAATGATTGGTTTCCCATAAAAATCATCCTGATAAAGAGAGAGTGGAGATCTGATAAGAAGATCATCATCATTACACTTAAAAACCCACTTTCACGTGTTAACTAGTCATAAGATGATTGTTTGATTAAACCAGACTGGATGGAATTATGACACATTCAACGAGAAAGAATTTCAGAACTTTTTGTCCAAAAACTTCATCTGGTTAGGCCTCGTGATCAGAGAATTTATGTACATCTCGAAATTCTCAAAGTCGAGTTATATATCACTAGTGCAGAGCATGAAAAGTCAATATGCTAAGTATTTACAAAAAATAATAAGTTTTGAGTTGTTATATATAAGACAAGTCGGAGCCCGAATTGTATGGTTATGGGAGGCATGGTTTCAAACGATATGTATAAAACGGCCTAACAACTATAGGGTAGTTCCATAGTTACATGAGAGTTACAGAAACTAATAAATAGGACTTTACATGATAATAATGAAAACGCCAGACATTATGATCATCATTTAATCACGAAACTTGGGGGACATCCCTTAATGCCTTAGAGGAAGTGAGATAGGTATAAAAAAACTTCTCGTTAAGGATATATACGCACTAAAGATTTGTTTGTTTTAACTTTAAAAATATTTTTTTTTATGTTTAAAATTAATTTTTATAAAAATGTTTTATAAAATATTATAATTTTTTTTAAAATTCTTTTTTTATAATTTAAAATTTTAATTTTAACATCCTATAAATAAATATATTAAAACAAAAATGCATCTCAAAAATAATTTTTATAAAAAATTATTTGAAATAGCTTTAATATTAAATATTTTTTTGGAAATTGTAATATTAAAAAAATGTTATAATAAAAATCTTTAAAATAAAATTTTAGGAATAATTATTTAAATAAATTTTTTAGAATTAATGTATTATTTTATTCCTTAATTAAACTATTTTGTAAGTTACCTTCTTCGGTTAAATCTATAGAAAAAAAATATTTATTACTCCCACATATTATTAATATACGAATTGTTTTTTATTTTATTTTTATTACTGTACGTATTTTGATTTTTATTTAAATCTCTCTCTCATCATCATTGATCTTTACATTAATATTTTCAGGATCAAGAAATATTCAACTGCTCAGCCAACACTTTGTCTTCACTCATCTTGAATAAATACAAATCTTGCTTCAGGTAGAGTCTATTCACGAGAGATTTGGTCATGTACAAACTTTCAAGTTTCACCCATAATCTCGATGTTGTAGTCTCCTTTGTTACCTGTCGAAGAACCTTATCACCAAGGCTCAACAATATTGCGATGTGGGCTTTCTCAATCATGTCCATCTTTTCTTTTGTCGTTAACGCAACATCCATGGCTGCCCCTCCCTTCAACGCTTCCAAACAACCCTGCTGAGCTAGTAGGGCTTTCATCTTCAAGCGCCACACACCAAAGTCGTTCACTCTAGTGAACTTTTCAATCTCATACTTTGTTGAAGACATCTTCTCCACGCTCACCGCATCAATTTATTGTGAATCAGATGTCTTGAAACAAAATATAAACGTTTCTTTATGATCAAGAAACACACAAGAGTTAGGGTTAACAAAGATAACAAGGTAAAAAAACAAGGAACAACAAGGATTGATAATACACTGTTATTATTTCATTCCTCTTAGAACAAGATTACAAATATACAAGAATAACAAATAACCTCTCTCTCTTGAAATTATGATTTTATCTTCCTATTTTTCTTTATGTCATGATCGAGAAACTAGCATCTTATTTATAAGAAAAATAACACACTAATCTAATGGTTTTTTTTTAACAATTACCCATTACAAGTTAACTTAGAGTACAAGTTAACTTAAACAATTGAGCTTACAAGTAAGACCCAATTCAACATGCTAACAACCCTAGCAATAGTGACTAATGCATGTTAGAACAAACTTCGACTACAACACGCATTACTCTGACAGCAGCATGCGAACATACTTCGACTTCATACTTAATTTCTATCAAACTAGAAGCTATCATTCGACCATACTAAAGTTCGATCCAACATCTCACACAACCAATACACATTTTTGTCTCCTTTATAACATAATTTGTTCTACATAAAAGATATTTAAGAAAAGGATTTTTAACCCCCACAAAATAATGTTATTGTTGAGATGTTACAATAAAAAATAAGTGTGAAAATAAAAAATAAAAATTATATATATACATATACATATATATATATATATATATATATATATATATATATATATATATATATATATATATATATATATATATATATATATATATATATATATATATATATATATATATATATATATATATATATATATATAAAATTAAGTAACTTATGTGATTTGAGAATTTTTTTGACACTTTTTTTATAGTAGTTTAATGACAAAAATTTTACTCTATGAATAAGTGATAGGTTGTTAGTTCAAATCAAAATCTTAATATTGCATAAATAATATCAATATAAGAGAACTGTTTTAAAATCTGGATCGATTATCGATCTGATTATACTATTAAATTAAGTTATTGATCCGATCAGTGGGTACTGATTGAGCTATAATACTTCTAAGAATGTGATAATATAATTGTGTTTTTATTTGGTAACATAGATTTTTTCAAAGCTTTTGTTAATTTATAATTTATTATATTATTTAATTAATTTTTTGATTTTTTAAATTTATTATATTACTTTATTGTATGATTAATAATAAATAAGTTTAATGAGAATTGTATTAGAGATAATTATTGTAATTATAGAATATCTAACTCTCTTCTCTTTAACCAAATTCAATATTACAGTGCAGTTAATAAAACTACAATTCTAATAATTTTGAAAGGTATCCTCTCATTCTTAAAATTTGACAAATTTTATTTTTTAATTTTAATATTATTTAATTATTATAAATAACTAACATAATTATAAATATTAATGATCAGATTTTAAAACAGAGACACCAATATTTTTTTAAAAAAATAGGGTCAAAATTATAAATAAATTAAAAAATAAACATAAAAATATTAATTTATCAATTTAAAAAATTTGTCAGTTCATTGGTCTAACTTATAAACCGGTCAAATCACACTACATTCGACCAAATTAATTGTGACCGGATCATTCTATTCTCTAATTTATGATGTAACCAATCTGACTAATTAAAATAATCCAGATTTTAATACATTGTGTGCCAGTGTTGAAAGGGAAGATTAAGTCGGATTGTATATAACATTGATTCAACTCAATTTTGAATTTGAAGTATACTATATAATTAAACATGTAAGTTATTCTTAAAGAAAAATCACAATATATATTGATATTGATGTAATACATAGTATTAATATAAAAGAAATTATAAAACATATGTGTGTTTGATTTGGATTTGAAAATTCAATTAAAAATTTAATTTGATTAGAATAACTTTTATTAAAAGATATTTAAAT